GATACTCTTTCCTGTTCCAACTACATATTTCGGTGAGGTTAGATCTTCTTCATATACTTAAGCCAAAATAATATATTCCAGCAGATTGAATGCAGAAGTAGATAAGAGAATTCAGTGTTCTTTTCCATTAAGCTAGACATTAAAGAAGTTTGTGACAATGCAAACTAATGCCACTCTTCTCACTAGATTTTTTTGAGAATATAGTTACTTTTTCATAAACCATGTTGCTTACATTAATATATAATGTGTTCATTATATTATTTTAAAATGAATTAATACTTTTTAAAAATTTGTTTTTATTTCTATTATGGCAAATACTAAATAGTTATTATAACCCACATACACAAAGGCTTTTTGAGGTCCTGAGGAATTGTAATAAAGGAGAGCGGTTCTGAGACCACAAAGTTTGAGAACAACTGGCTTAAATCACATCAGCGTTATTTGTTGTTTTAATGATAACATAGATCTCAACAGTGGAAACATCTGGATCTTTTGCCTTTTTAAATGGGGGAATTTACAGCCACCTTTCTTTCCCTCTGTTTATTTACTTAACTTGTCTATTGTTAATTTTGGTAGCTTAAGTTTTCATTAGGAAATCATCCATTTCTTCTAGGCTTTCAAGTTCATTGCTACTGAGCTGCAGGTAGTATTTCTCATACTTCCTTCCATCATTTTTGTGCCCTTGGCTTTCTTTCCTTTCTTAATTCTAATTTTGAAGTTTTTCTTTATTTTTTTTCTCCTGAACTCTCTCTTTATTTCATTGATTTCAAACATCCCATTCATAAAACAGTCTAGAAGCTTTGGGAGAAAGAAAATAGAAGGGGAGACAAGAGTAGACAAGAGGCATCAAGGAAGGTCAAGGCAGGCCCTGGCTGTGGCACATGGGATGCCCCCTCAGCTGGTCCCTGAGAACGTTCCAGAAAAGAAGGGGACTGTCAGCTGGTGTCTCAGCTTGGGCTCCACTGGGCTGATTGATATTTGTAGATCCACTGGGATCCAAGATCTGTTTCTCCACTTTTAACATTCTTAAATTCAGTTCTGCTGGTGTTACCAGACTTGGGTGAGGCTCGTGAGTAACTCTCACTAATCATATCCACAAAAATGACTGGTGTAAAAACTAGAATGCCAGTTTCACAATTCCCTACCACATGGATTAGAATACCTGCACCCATTGGTCAAAGCATTTCTTTGCTTTGCATAAAGCAGTTGTGGTTTCTTAGGGAATACTCTCGGAGCTGCATTGGTAAGGAAGGGAGGAAGTTAGGATCTGGCAGAGGGAGAAGCTGGACTGCAATGAGGTTGCGACTGAGATCCGCCTGTCATCTGCTGGGGAGCCCTGGAGCTAGAAAGACCCTTTAGAATCGCTTCAAGTCGAGGCAATGGCGGTGGGCCTTTGAATGTTCACGTTGGTCATTGGTTGGAGGTGCCCGTGGGGAGGGGAGGGGAGTAACCTTGGCAGAGGCAGGTCCCTGCCTGCCCAGGGAAGGGTGCCACTGCATGCCCCCAGCAGTCCAAGTCCCAGCAGTTGCAGGATGAGTGCAGTGGCCTGAAGAGGGTATCTGGGCAGCATCATAGTCCTCACTATAGATGTAAGATGCACCCCGAATTCAGAAACATTAAAGTATATTTTAAAAGTACACCTTACAGTGGCAGAAATATGGTAAAAAGATTCAGTCGTGTTTTTTGAAACAGAGAAGCAAGCCAGACCAGAGAACTGGAAATACAGGCCCCCCCCCCCCAGGGATGATTCTTCCTTGTCTGCCATTCGTGTTTCTTCTTGCAAGTCTGTTTTTCTCTTCTTTCTTGATATTCCAACTTTCTTTGCTAAACGGTTTTCCAGGAACCAACCAATACGAGAGGTGCATTGTGGCAGTGCTGTGCTGGTGAATGTTTAAAAACTAGCTCTCTGGGGGAGGAAAAAAAGTTTAAAAACTAGCTCTCTGTGGGAGGAAAAACATTATAATTTTTATTGTGATAAAGGATGTGGAGGACAGAATTTATAAATAATAATAAACTACACCATACTCTTCATCATAAATCTCATACAGGCAATCGGTTTTCATAGAATGTTGATTTTTGCGGAACTTATATGTCCCTAGCCAACCTGTGATTATAATTGATGAACAAGTCCAGCTCTGACAAGTATTGGCTGAAATTTTTTCTTAAATTAATGAATAAGACAAAAGCAAAAAAAAAAATGAAGATAAATGTAAGGACATCAGTTGTTTTTCAATGATGAGAGAGACTCTTTATTGAATGAGACAATAGTTTTCAAATATGGGAAGAATATTTCCTTGATTTTTTAGTCCTATTTACTAAGTAATAGTTACACATATGATACATTTAAATTTAATTTTTATCACTGCTTCTCTACTGGAGAGAGATTTTGCTCCTCAAAGGACATTTGGCAATCCAGAGACATTTCTGGTTGTCACAGCTAGGGAAGGGGCGCTACTGGCATCTAATGAGTTGACGCCAGGGGCATCCTTCCCACAGTAAAGAATTATCTGGCCCAAGGTTGAAAAACCCTGATTTGGGTTATTAACATTTTCTCCATAAATTTTAAAAGTTTAGACAATCAAGAAAACAACAGGCCGGGCGCGGTGGCTCACGCCTGTAATCCTAGCACTCTGGGAGGCCGAGGCGGGTGGATTGCTCAAGGTCAGGAATTCGAAACCACCCTGAGCAAGAGCGAGACCCCGTCTCTACTATAAATATAAACAAATTAATTGGCCAACTAATATATATAGAAAAAATTAGCCGGGCATGGTGGCGCATGCCTGTAGTCCCAGCTACTCGGGAGGCTGAGGCAGGAGGATTGCTTGAGCCCAGGAGTTTGAGGTTGCTGTGAGCTAGGCTGACGCCATGGCACTCACTCTAGCCTGGTAGCCTGGGCAACAAAGCGAGACTCTGTCTCAAAAAAAAAAAGAAAACAACAGATCAAACCGAGATTGGTAGTGTTTACCAATTTCTGTGGTGTAAATACTCCCACTGTGATAGTTAATTTTATACGTCAACTTGACTGGTCTACAGGGATACCCAAATACCTGGCAAAACTATTTTTGGGCTTGTTTGTGAGTGTGTTTCTGGAAGAATTTGAATTGGTAGGCCGAGGAAAGAAGGTCCGCCCTCACCAATGTGGGCAGGCACCATCCGATCTGTTGAGGACTAGAATAAAACAAAAAGGTAAATTCTCTCTCTCTTCTTGAGCTGGACGTCCACCTTTTACTGCCCTTGGACATCAGAGCTCCTGGTTCTCGGGTCTTCAGACTCCGGAACTTATACACTCTCCTTCCGTCACCAGACTTGGACTGAATGACGCCACTGGCTCTCTTGACTGTTCAGCTTGCAGATGACAGATGGTGGGACTTCTCAGCTTCCATAATTGTGAGACCAAGTCCCATAATAAATCTCCTCTTGTAAATATCCATATACCTTAGTGGTTCTGTTTCTTTGGAGAACCCTAACCTATACAGTCACGGTGGCAGATTTCAGGATACCAGTGTGATATCTCCAAGCATGGGGTTGGTAAGAGACGTGGAGTAGCCACTGTCATATAACATTTCCACCCTAAAGATACAACACTCATCAGTAACCCCAAGAGCATAAATAACAGTAAAACAATTAGTAATAGGTTCTGTGTATCTATTACCTATGTTTGTAATATCATTTATTTAATTGCAAGTAAACTTATTTAATTTTTAATAATGGCTATGTTTAACAACTGATGCAAATTCTTGAAAATGTAACAGTCAGTTCTTGTGGGTCAGTATGGACCACCCTGGCTCCGGCAAGCCACCGAAATGGCTATCAACCACCCACTCTCAAAAATTCACATTTTATATATCCCATGTCTTGGAAAGACTGGCTCAGTTACAATTTCAGTTTTCTAGAGAAGGGACTCTGATGGTCCCAGGTAGGAATAGGTATTCGCTATGGTGTACACCTACAAGGCCATCCTGTAAATGTGCCTGGACCCCGAGGGAGCCAGCCCCCTCCCCATTAGGAAGTTACCAGAAGGAGCATCGCTGCGTGAGGACAGGCACCTCTTGTGCCCGTCCGTGACAGTGTTGTAGACACACTGCCACATGCTTCCGCCCCCACTCCGATCCTGGAGACTCTGCACAGACTGAATTTCTGATTCACCCACCTTCGTCCTTCCCCCACCCCTGAAATGACAAAATAAGATGTGGAATCGGTGGTTCTGGAAGTGTGGTCCCTGGATCAATACCAGCCAAATTTTTGTGTCCTGCCCCAAACATACCGAAAGACAATTTGTGATGATGGAGACCTGCAGTCTTTGATTTGAAAAGTCCTCCAGCTTATCCCGAGGCATGCTAAGGTACTAAATTGTATAGCTTTTCTTCTTCTTCCTCTTCTTCTTCTTTTTTTTTTTAAAGCCACCTACTATCCTTTGGGACAGCAGCAGAACAAATCCAGATGCTCCTGATTAAATTTGGCATTTCCCTCTAGACTCCAGAAATGATGGATAATTTCTTAGGATGAGTTACTCCTAGAGAGGAAAAGCTCAGCAATCATATATTGATTTTTACCATTTTTTTCTTTTTGAAGATGACTGATTTTTTAATTTCTCTGACTAGTATAGCCTCGCATACACTGTTAAATCATATACATCTTACAAAATTTAACTTTTCATGATCTATTTCTTGATTCCTCAACTAGCTGTCAATCTCTTCCAGGCAGGGACGATGTTTTTGCTTGGACCACCAAATCTAATGTAGTACAGAGCTAATATATAAGACATTTAAATACTGGATTGAAAATTTATGAAAATTAAAAAAAGTTTTCTTTGTCTAATCCTTTGCTTTTTTTTACAGGCGTTATTTAAAATTTGTCATATGTAATTTCCAAAGTAGACATGCTAGAAAATTTATAATTAATTTGAATAATAAATAAACAGAAAATGATACCTGGATTTTTTCCCCCCAAATTGTGGGATTTGTACAAAATTGTAGCATAAAGAAGAAAATAAGAATCACCAGTTATTCTACTGTCCAGATAACAACTTGATACTTTGGTATGTTTCCTTCCAATCGTTATTCTGTGTTTATAAGTTTTTATTACAAAACAGAGAATATTCTACTTTTTTGCTAAACATTATATCATGAGCATTCCCATATCAATGAATATTTTTTTAAATGTGGTTTTTAATGGTTCCATGTTATTTGGTGTTATGTATGAACTATAATTTATTTAACTATTCTCCCATTTAAGACATTTGGGTTGTTTCCAGTATTTCACTTTTTAAATAACTATCGTGATGAAATGGGATACATGTGTTTTAAATGAGTACATTCCCTTTTAGAGTCAGGATTGATTGGTCCTTTTGAGTGTTTCTAAACTCTCCTGGTCAATCTTTTTTTCCTCTTTTATATTGAAAAGCTTGCTCATCAGTTTGCTTGGTCAAGAACTCATGTCTATCACTCTTTGATTTCAGGCCTTAATCAGGATCTAATGCACATGTTTACATAAACATCAAAATCAATGAAAATCAAAATTTAAAAGATCTCCCATCTGGCCAGCTAGTCCTTTGTGTTCCCTGGAAATTTCCATTACTGTTATAGTCATCTATCTCAACCCTTCAGGTTTTTTGTGTCATACCATTTAATCCCCAAATCAGGAAAATGCTAATAAATTATTATTTTGCTCATTCAATTATAAGTGACCCAGGAAACAGATATCCATGCAAAAGTGCCGCTATGTTTAGTTCCACGACATTTTCTTTGTAAAATATCTTAAGCTTTCAAGAGCCCTAAAATTCAGCAAAGCATGTTAGGTAAAAGAGCGAATTAACTTCCTATCTTGGTTTATTTCTGGCAAAAGTCAGATATCTTTTAGTTGAAATATCACCCCCCAACCCCAAACTTCCTAAATTGAAATGAACAATTCTCTATGATCTTTTATTATGATAAAGCATCTTACAGCCATTATCAAGTCACTGAACTGAATGATATTCCTCACCTTTTTAAGTGGGAAAAACTAACATGTCAAATACTGTCTAATTATAACAACTAAACTTTTTTTTTTTTTTTGAAAAAAATGCTTCCATGGCATGGAACCAAAGATAAATGCAAGCAGTTTTTAGGGTCTTTAAAAAATCTCTGACATAATTATTTTTCCTCCAATTTAATTTTTTTTTCCTTGGGTTGGACTTTAAAACAAAAAGAATTTCTGATTACATCTGCAATCACGTCATTGAGCATCTTGATTGCTGAACACATGATCAAAAAACACGACTTCAGTTAGCTTGAGGTAAATACTCAATTATCACCAAGATACATGTAAGCAATCTAGAACTAGACTAGGGAGTAGAGACGAATTTACTTCTGAAATGCCTTAAATCGATGTAGCTGTTTAACTTCCCAGGAAATTTAACAGGCCAGCAATGCACACTGCCCTTTCACTATGTACTTATGAATTAGTATTATTATTTAGGTTTTTCCTCACTCTGTTATGTTAATTTTTGCAAGCAACTTCAGAAATCCTGATGTGCACTTCTAAATATAATAAGTAAGGATTTTGCCTTAATCAGGGTGTTCTACGAGGAGGCTTTTGGACCTGAACCAGCAGGTGCAAGCGGGTACTGTAACAATAAAAAGTGCAGCACACCGACCTCAACACGACTCGGAACGCTTGGGTTTCAACCCACGTTGTAACTCTCAGCGGGGGATACCAAGGCGCGCTTCCGGAGGGCGCCGCCAGGGGGCAGCCATCCGCAGCCGCTCCGCCAATAACAGGCGCCACCGAGGGCTTTCTTCTCTCCTCTCTCGCTCACCTCAGCTTCCGCCGGAAGCGGCCGCCGCCAGTTGTTGTCTTTCGGTGTCTGGGCTTGGCTGTGCTGCCTACGGTGGGTTCTCGGCGGCCGGCCGGGTGAGGCTGGGTCTGAGAGCCGGAGAGGGGAAATTGGGCCTTAAACCCGAGCAGCGGGATGGACATTCTGAAGTCAGAGATCCTCCGGAAGCGGCAGCTGGTGGAGGACAGGAACCTGTTGGTGGTGAGGACCCCTGTGGTCGTGGGGGTTGGGGATCGAAGAGTGTGTGCGTGTGTTTGGGGGGGCATGTGTGTATACGTTTGTGTGTCGGGGTGTTGGGGGTGATGGTACTGAAGGGATTTGGGGCGGGGAGGGGGCTTAGCGAGAGCCCTGCCACCATACCCGGGAGGCCCCCGCGCTCTCCACAGGTCCACCCCTTGGCACCACTCGGGAGCCTTAGGGATGGAAGTGTGGGGATTGCAGGGAAACCCAAGGCTCTGACTATTTCTCCTCCCCCGACTGCCCTTTTCCCCTTCGCATTTTGCCCCCGTCCCCACTCCCATCTGTCGGTATTCTGCCGGCGTTCCCCGGTTCTTCTGATGGTGGTTCACTTCTGCCGTCTCACTGAGCGTTTGTACCCAGCTGAAGCATGGAGAAAGGGCGGTCTCAGAACTCTTCCTTTTAAAGTTTCTTCCCCGTAGTAAATCCCAATGTTTTTATTCTCTTCCCCCTTCTTTCCTCTTCTCCAGTACAGACAAAGTCTATAGGTCAGCTCTTCACTGATGGGAAGGCTAAAACTCTTTTTGGAGAGGAACTGAAAAAGAAAAAGAATTATGTGATTTAGGAACTTCTTAAGTTGATTTCCATTGCTTTATTGCATGCATAACAATAACTTAGACGACTGACTCTCAAAACTTTTGATCTCAGGACCCCTTTACACTCTTAAAAGTTAGGATCCCAAAGGACTTTTTATTATGTGTTATTTCTATGAATATTTACCATGTTAGAAGTTAAAACTGAAAAACTTTAAAAATATATATTCACTGATAATTTGGATAATAAGTTTTGCAGGCCTCCCAACTGTTGACACATTTCATTACACAATATAAAAATCACTTTAATATCCACTGATCGCTCGAGAAACTTCTTTAACCTTTGGGTTAAACCATTAAGCCCATGGTGACAGGTGTAAGTTCTTTACTCCTTTAACTTTATTGACTTGAAAGCTGGAGTTTCATCATAGGCAACAAATACTATCAGTTGTTTTTCTGAAGCGATCATCTCACTTTGTTCATTTTGGGAATTTGTCTACCAAATACCAAAGTCTCAATAATCACAGTTTGTCAGGTATTCTTACATGTAAGAATGATAGTCCATGAAAAACAGGTAGTTTCGTTTGCAACTCAGTTGCACAATTGGTTTTCCTCCAGACAGCCATCATACTTGGGCATAAATGACAAGTGCTTTATGCACCCTTCCTGTTTTGTCACACAGGATATTAAAAAGATGCAGTCAAGGATCCAGACGTAATAAAATTAATAATTTTACCACTTCATCAAGCAGATTAAGTGAAACTGGCTCTCTCTGAATGCAGTGACAGTTTGGTGCCACTGCCTTAATTCTTGCTAAGGTTTCAGCAAATTTACAGTTGCTTTCCACCCACAGTGCAAATGTCATCAGAGTGAACAGGCAAATCGTACTTTAGTACTGAAAATAGCTTTGACCTCATGAGTCCTCTGAGAGGGTCTTCAGGACCTGTAGGGGTCTGTGGACCACAGAACATCTGACATAGATCTTTGGATGTAGTGTATGATTGGTGTATATAATGTCATGTAAGTTAGGGTTGTTAGCTTGGTGGATGGCAAATTTCATAATCATTGAAGTTTTAAAAACAATTAGAAAAGTGGCACTAATTAAATAGAATGTTATTTAGCAGGTGAGTGGAGAGATAGTTCTTATTTGTAACTTAATGTTTTAATCTATACTTTAGGGATTTTTTTTCTTCTGATGAGTGGCTTGGCAGTATTTTAAAAACTAATTCAGGTGTTGGAATGCATAGTTGATGTTAGGAAGGGCCAGAGCGTTGAAATCAGAGTGCTCTATTTATTTATTTTTATTTTAGTGTATTATGGGGGTACAAGTGTTAAGGTTACATATATTGCCCATGCTCCCCTCAGTCAGAGTGCTTTAAAGGGAAACTTGAATCACAGAATATTCAGCTCAGCTTAAGGGTTTATAGTGTGCATATTTGCATAATCACGTTCTTTGTCATGGAAATGGACCAATCTATAAACATGATCAATTTTTTAAAAATCTTTGATTTTTCATAGTTGTTTTTTTTTTTTTTTTTGAGACAGAGTCTCGCTTTGTTGCCCAGGCTAGAGTGAGTGCCGTGGCGTCAACCTAGCTCACAGCAACCTCAAACTCCTGGGCTCGAGCGATCCTTCTGCCTCAGCCTCCCGAGTAGCTGGGACTACAGGCATGCGCCACCATGCCCGGCTAATTTTTTATATATATATTAGTTGGCCAATTAATTTCTTTCTATTTATAGTAGAGACGGGGTCTCGCTCTTGCTCAGGCTGGTTTCGAACTCCTGACCTTGAGCAATCCGCCCGCCTCGGCCTCCCAAGGGCTAGGATTACAGGCGTGAGCCACCGCGCCCGGCCTTCATAGTTGTTTTTAATTTATCATCATATATAAACTGTTTTCCTGGTGTGTCTTTGGTTTTTAATTTGGTCATTGATTTAATTATTCAGATAATCCCAGTCAGAAGAGAAGATTGATTTCCCCAATTATAGAACAGTTCAGACCAACAAAGAGCATATATGAAATGAGAATAAAAATACTGAAAATCGTAGTTTTTATTAATAGTAATCTGTGAGGTATTATGCAACATACTTCATATGTTTGTACAACAACCGCATAAAGGTACTCTTATTCTCATTTACAAATGAGGAAACAGAAGCTAAGAGAAGTTACATGATTTACAGGATCACACAGCTAGCAAGAGATAGAGCCTGAGTTTGTACCCTGGTCTGTCCCACCTCAAATCCTGCTCAGTTAATGGCTACATACAGAATGGATTTATATTCACCTTATGAACATAGACCTAGTTTTGATAGGTCTACTCTGAGAATTAAAGCACTTGAAAATTGGATTAACATATGTCATGTATACTTTTCAAAGCGCTATATTATGCTATCTCATTTGAACTTAACAGCTCTTAATTAGTGCAGAAGGCAGGCATTATTATGTTGTTTTCGTGGATGATGAAATTGAGACTTAGAAGGTTACATGATTTTCTCGTACTTGTGGCCAGCCAGGGTAGATCTCAAGTCTCAGACCCAGCTTGGGGGGTGAGTGTTCTTGCATAATTTAAGAGAACGTAGATAACTAGACATCTTTTCATATTGTATGCATGGGAAGACAGTCTTTAGATTTGCAGCTATATAGTTTTATACAGAATCAGTTGCTTTATAGCTTTTATCTTTCTGCATCACAATGTCAGTAACTTTCAAACTTTCCACTGCTTCATAATAAGAAATAAATTTTTATATTTTGATTGATATAAATGTGAAAAATTTTACTACATATGATTCTATCATATGTTTTAGTCCATTTTTTTAAAAAAACAAATCACTGCGTGGGCATCAAGAAATGGCTTTCCCCACCTATCTGTGGCTGGAAAACACTTGTCTACATGGTATTGCTGTTCCAGAACACCTGTCTCATCTTTTGTCATTTCAAGTGGTATCTCAGCTTTTTATGGTTAATCTGGGATTGTTGAAATAGTCAAATGCTTAACTACTGAGTGCCACTTTGTCAAACTGTGGAGAAACTACTAAAGTATCCTCCTCTCACCTGTCCTAAAATGTCCTACTGGTATAACTACCCTGAGGTAAGCGTAGCGTCTGCATTGCTAGAATACCAATGCTTTCTAGCCTGGTATTGGTTAAGTCTTCATTTAAGGCAAAGCCTCATTTATGTGGAAAACCAGGCTGCTCTAGGAACTCAGTGGGGAGTAATTAGGTTTACTCCTTGTAATTCTAAGGATGAGCTTTGTGTAAAAGTTTAGCGTTTTTCTTCAATATTTGCTGAATGTTTCCTACATGCACGATACTATACAGTGCCTCAGAGGTTTAAGTAATAAAGTAATGCTTGGTCCTTTTCTTAAGGAACATGCATTCAGTTTTATAGAGAAAATAGAAACCAACAGGCTGGAAATTCCTCAAGAGTTTCCTTGTTAAAATGGATGAGGTTTCAGTTATATCTTGGGTCAAACATTCCATCTGTGTTTTGGGTCACAACTCATCTTTTTCAGCATCATCGGGGACCTTAATATCAGTTATTCCTTTTGTCCCCGTGTCCCCAGTCTCTCTACTGGCTTATCGCCATCAGCACTGAAACATGCAGATGTCTCCCATCTCTAAAAGGATACATACACTGTTCCTTTTCTTTACAGCCAGCTGCTTAAAATAAATTCTAACTCCCACTTCTTAGCCTGAGGCATTCTGGTTTCTGCCTCCATCATTATATTGAATCTGCTCCAATCAGGGAATCAAGTGACCTCCGTGTTTTATTAACTCACCTGACAGTATTGGACATTGTTGACTGGTCATCTTCTTTTGCTCTTCCTTTGTCATGTTTTATACCACAGCTTCCTGTTTTTCCTTCTACTTCTCAGGCTGCTTACTCTTGATCTCCCGTACAGGCTGCTGCATTTTATTTTGGTCCCTAAAAATGTTGGTATTTCTTAAAGTTCAAGCCCAACCATTTTCCCTTCACACTGAGTATTCTCTTTTGCAAATCTTATACTCATCTCTGTGATTTTAGTTACCATTTGTATTGGGGGATTTCTTAAGAAATAGAGCCATTGGATAGACTTCCCAGTCAGTATCCATCAGTTCCTTGAAATTTTATTTAAAATTTAGCATGTATGTGTGTGTATGACCCTCTCTCCCTCTCCCTATTTATGATGTTATTAGAGGGGTCTTTGACTCAGAAAGGTTAAGAACTGGGCATTTTTGTGTTGGTGACTCCAATTCTCTGTGTCATTATTCCTCACACTGTGTTCCAGCCCTACCGACCCTTTTTCATTTTTTCAGTTCTTTGAACTTGCCTTTTTTCACACTTATTTATCCCTTTACGTGGAACAGTCTCCTGTAATCCTCCAGTTCCTGTCTTTCAGTAGTAGTATACAAGGATCTTTTGGAAGTTTTTTTTTTATGGTTGTGAAAAAACAG